GCTGCTTATATATATATATATATATATATATATATATATATATATATATATATATATATATATATATATACACACACACAATAGTCCCTCGCTACTTTGCGGTTCATTTATCGCAGATTCGCACTATCGCAGTTTTTCAAAATAAGATTGGATATGACACACAACTGTCAGACTGGTGGATGAGTCACATGATCAACATAGAATTTTTATTTAAAATAGATTTTAAATAATTTAGCACCTGCTGCACCTTTGTGCAGCCCACACTGCAGGATAAGCTTCCTGCTGCAGCTGATCAGCTGTTCTCCTACACAGCGGAAAAGTGGGCGTGGCCAAGAGCGCTTGCAGGTGGCAAAGAGCAGAGGAGGCAGGGAGCTGAGTTCATGACATTCTGTGCTCTTTAAGAGTGTTTAGAGTTTAGAAACATTGTTTAGAATATTGCAAGAGTGTGGGAAAGGTTTAAAATGCCTAAATATATAAATATATTTAAAAACTAAAATAAACTACTACTTGCATTACTATTCCTTCTTCACGGTTTTTCACTTATTGTGGGTCTTCAGGGTACGGATCCCCTGCAATAAACGAGGGACTACTGTATATATGTGTATATATATATATATATATATATATATATATAAATAAATAAAATAAAGGTTTTGTAAAAATGCAATACACACAAAAACACAACAAAACAAAATTTCCCTACATCCCATGCCTAAATAGGAGTATTTCCAAAAAGGCATTTGATTAAGCGTACATTCTTTCATCCGAGTTTTAAAGTTTTATTACGTTGTCCTCCCCAATATAAACTGTTTTTTCTAAAACTCACAACGATCCAATAACTTTTTTTTTTCCTTCCAAGAGTCTAAATTTTACAGTACATCTGTCCTGGCAGTGAATTATTAAGTTCAATCAAAAACCTTTTTCCAAAAGTTTGGTTTGATCTCTCAACCTTTTTGTTTTAAGTTCAAGGAAATATTCAGTAGCAATAGTCAACAATACACTTTCAGTTATTTGAAATTTACTACCAGCAACCTGAACGTTTGTTTTTTTTTTTAATAAGCAACACCTCTCTATGATTGTTTTTTTTTTTTAAGTTATAAGCACGAGTCCTCACATAAAGCAAAGCTGCAGAACAGAATCTCCAAGTCAACAATACAACTATTGGACATATGCAGCCAGTGGAGGCTCGCCCCCACCAGAACGTACACCAGTGAGGAGCATTTTAATGCCACAAAATGTCCATTTGTCCTTCCCTCTGAATCTTTAACCTTTTCTCAGGTTTCACATTCTGGTACTCTGCGTCCAGCCTGTGTCTGGTCATTCATTAGACAGTTTCTTCAAGGCAATGCAGGTGACAAAAAAAAAATATTGGCGCTTTTTTTTTTTTTTTACCTCTTCCCTCTCAAGGCCTCCATGTCAGGTGCTTTAAAACCTGCATTTAGTTAAATAGGACATTATCTTATTTGTAAAAATCTAAATGTTTTTGTTTGTCTTACTGTCCCTTCACCTCAATGATATAATCATCATCATCATCATCATCATCATCAGAGCTGCTGTTGCTGCCAACATCCCTGCCATTCACCAGAACTGAAGGTCGCTGACTTTCAGATTGGGCAGAAGGGGAGAAAGAGGAAGGTGAGGATGAGGAGGAGCTAGAGGCAGCAGTTGTGGGGTACTGGGACGAGAAGCTGGACCCAGCAGCTCCAGGCGTGGCAGCTGAACCCGGCCCGCCGCTCTGTAGCATTGCCCCGGAGTAAAGGCTGGCCAGAGAGGGAGTGTATGCGAGCATCCCAGGCGCGCCGGGGTTCAGCATGAACGGCGGCAGAGCTCCTGGAAGTGAACTGGTGGCTTTGACTGACGCAGAAGACGATGAGGAAGATGAGATGGTTGAACTGGTTGGAGCTGTTGAGGAAGAGGAAGATGAGGGAGTGCCAGATTCGTTCATGCCAAACAGATTTGGGTACATGTAGCTGGGGTCACCCAGCTGAGTGTTGGGTGAATGGAAGTAGTGTGAGCCACCTGAACCCATGAGGAGTGGAGGCCACAGAGAACCACCCAACATGGCAGAGTTGAGACCCACTGGGGGGAGGCCATAGCCCCCAGTGAAAGGGAAGCCTTGTGAGGGAAGAAAGGTGGAAGAAAGTTCGTTTGCAAAGGGCTGCTTACTCGCCAGCTCATCCAGGGACGGTGTGGAGGCTTTGCGCTTCGTGCCTATTCTCAAGTCCTGAGCAGCGGTGACGTCAATGTTGGGCTGGATGGCCTCAGTGACAGAGACATCATGGCGGCTCACATGTCCACCACTCTTCATGCTGCTCTCTGCTGCGGCGTCAGCTCCTGCGCCACACGTGTAGCGCTGCAACTCATCGATGATGTCAGGGCTGTCGGGTGAAAGAGGGCGGGGCACAGCCTTGGAGGGTACCTGTTGCTTACTGTCAGGTGACAGGCACCCGTTACTGTGATTGGTTGAAACCTCCTGAGGTGAGGCTTGCACATCTGAAAGAAATAAAGAGAATAAACTTAGCTTCAGCTTCACAAGAAATACTATAGTACTTTGTACTTTCCTCATCGAACAAATACTAATTTCTAAGGATTTAAACATTTTACATCTTACTTTTGGGTGTTGCTGTTGCGCTCTCGTCCATGGTTTTGGTTTTATTAGCTGATCTGATGGCAAAGATTCGACCATCTGATGTTCTGATGTAAGTCCCTAAAAAGACAGTGATAAAAGTTTCACCACTCCATAAAATCAACATGGATATAAAAACACACTGTCAGTTCATTTTAAACAGAAACTGTTAAATTTGCTTTGTTTACTTTGAGGTCTTTAGGTTTTTGCAATATTGTGACAGCTTATACAATTTAAAATGTGAGCCCGAGTCGTGAGCCTGCTTCTAATGGAGGTTTCTTCCTGCTAAAAGGGAGTTTTTCCTTTCCACCGTTGCCTTTGTGCTCGCTCAGGATGGGAGACTGCGACAAAGTCAACATTCAACACAAACTGCTGCTTCCTTAGAAAGAAACATTTTACTAACTGGCTTTTTAAAAGTATATGAATGTTTCTGTTCAGTGCCCTGAGACTTCTGTTGTGACTTTGTGTCATATAAATAAACTGAACTGAGCTGAATTAAAAATAGCAAAGTTCATTTTTAGCACTTAGAGATTTTTTTTTCAGTGTCAAACAGCCAAAAAAATGAAACATTTAAAAACTAGAACAAGCATGCGCCAAAACTGTTTTATTTAGGTAATGTACCTTTTGTGCCTTTGATGATATGAATACTTTCTCCAGCTGGGATTCTGGCTTTTGCATCTGTTGAGTTGTTGGTACCTGGAATCCTGATGTCTGAGAGAGACCAAAGACGGTGTTTAAAGTTTAAATGTTTAAAGAAACAGAAAGGAAATGCAACAATAAAATCAAAGTGTATTGAAAGTAGTCTACCGGTAGTAGTGACAATCTTCTGCACAAACACCCCGGCTTTTTGCAGGCAGTTGATGTTGAAGCCTCCGAGGCTGGATCTTGAGGAGTCACGGTCTTGGGCAGAACCTGCAGACACCTGGCGGGGCATCATGGGAACTGATCCTGACTGGACTGGTTTGACATTCGCCACTGGTTTCTCCTCAGTGAGTGTGGGAGGGCGCCTGCGCAGAGATGCATATTGCTTCTTTATGACTCAACTTCATTTTTTAAAGCAGGTTTGGTATATCCCTGAATAAATAACCTCAGAACGAAAATATAAGTATTTTGTGGACTCATTTAAGTTTTACTGACCAGTTCCTCTGGCTGAAGGCAGGGATGTTGGTGAGACTCTGGTCACTGGCGGGGTAATAGTGAGCGTACGATGGCCGGGTGTATGGCACCGAGGCCCTTTTTTCCTCCTCGTAATCCCTCTTAGCCGCTTTTTTCTCAGCACTGCTCAGCTTCAGCTCTCTGCGGTTCATCAGCAGGGACTCATGGGGGAAGGGTTGCTGAAGAGGACAACAGGGAGAAGTGTAAAATGTTTCTTTTTGATAAGAATTATGATCATTTGCCTAATATCTAAATAATTCTTACAAAATCCCACAAAATCAAAGTTATAATCCAACCTTGCTGGTACTGAAACAACATTCTAGCAGAAAACTGACTTATTTTGGAGACAAACCTCTTTAAATGATACAGGTCCTTAAACCATTACTTTTCAGACAATCCAAAGTATATACACCACAGTAACCACTAAACTAGAAACTGCTCCACCATGTTCTACCTGTAATCACCTGCAGAGGGCGCAAGATTATAAAAGCCCTGCTCTGTTCATCTACCTTGGTGATCAGGTGAGTGTAGAGGTGCAGAGCCTTCTGCAGGACGCTGTCCCTGATGAAGTTGGGCTGCAGCTGGACCTGGGATGGGTCTGGTTCCTCATCCACAAAATGAAGAAGAGATTCGACTTCCCTCCTGGTGAAGGTCAGGACAGGGTTCAGATCATCCACCACACGATCTAAAAGAAGGAGAAGGAGGTCATAAAATGTATAACACTGAGATAATATAGTGACAATGTGGAGTATAATATAAAATATTAAGGATAAATTGCATAAATTGGATAAAAACGCTAATTTCTGTTGATGTTCTCCAAACTATTGGTCTTAGAGCAGGGGTGTTCAAACGTTTTCATATGAGCCAAAACTATCCAGATGAAAGGAGTCATGGGCCACAAAAATGTGAAGTTAACTCTCAACATGAACAATAATTTGGAGAATGGACAAAAGTTTACTAATTTTGGTGGAGAAAGTTTTAAATTGTTGTAGATCCAAAACATTAAAAGCCCCCAAAACACTAAGCTTATCAATTATTTAATTTATTTGGTTTGTTGGGTCTATGTTTGTTGTTTTCTTGTGTTTGGAAAGTTCATTTTAGTCTGTTCTCAGCAACAAAAGTGTAATTTGAGTAAGTGTCCTTTTAAAAAGGACTTTTGGACCATGGACGGCCCAAAAGGCTGATCCAAGTTCTGAAAAATCGTCCAGTTGTCAGTCGCTCCAACAGATTCATAGAAGGTTTGATAAAGTTGATCAACTCATATGTAGATGATAACACGTTCTATTCAGTTAAAAATGTCCAATTTCCCTCTAGATTATTTTATCAACTGCAACATTTAGCCAAGTTTTAAGAAACATTATCTAAAAGTCTCCTTTCTGGTAGAAATCAGTAAAGGTTTTTGGTGCTTTGTACCATGAAATGAAAATAAGATTATAGCCAAAGGTTTGTATTTTGATTAATATTGCTCATTTTGAGAAGATGTTTTTCATCCGTTTTGCTGTTAAACCTAAACATTATACAAAAAGTGATTATCAACACATTTGCAGAAAGTCTGCATCAACTTCTCAAGCCTGCTGGCCAAAATGATGCCATTCTTAAACTGCAGCTGTGGGCCGCCCAGAATCACTCCAAGGGCTGCAAATGGATCTCGGGCCGCACTTTGGACACCCGTGTCTTAAGAGTGTTCATTATTGTTTATAGTTCATTTTCTGTTCTAGCTCTAGGTGGACGCATTCTTCTCGTCTTCCTCCTGCTTTTGCTCTGTGTCTGGAGCTCCTGGTACACATCTCCTGAACGAAAAACACTATTATGGATCTGGTGAGCTGGACTTTCAACGCAGTCGACAAAATCTTTTCAACAAAATGACAGGGTCCTGGAGAACCCTCATGTTCTGCCAAGACTCATGCTGTGGGGTACATCATGGATCCGTGGAGAGTTTGGCAGCTGATGTGTCTTTCAGTTCTGTCTCAGGAGGATGCCAAAGACATCTATATAATTGGATTCATGATAGCAGGGTTTCTGCTTTTGGTATTGGCGGGTCCCTATGTGATCAACTTTTGAAGAAGACATCGGCCGCGGTTTCGGCCATGGCAAAACTTCCGAGTCTGTGTGAAGGTTTGATTCATGCTACGAGTACTCAAAATCATCTAATTTACGAGCTAAACCGTAAGATGGAAGCAATTTGTGAGAATCGCAGGCCACCTGTGGCTCCTAGGACTCGCCAGCATGATGTGATCAACCTAGAGGATGGCTCATTATCACAGACCAGTGGAATGTTCATAAATTTGGCCATTTTGGATCTGGAAAGTTCCAGCAGGACTCAAGGCTGACAAGAAAATAAAAAACAGTTTGCCTGAAGAAAATCAACAATTGTGGTTTATCTGAATCTGATTCTTCCATCTGGCCTCGGATGCAGGCCGACTATCAAATTTCTCCTGGGATATGGGTAAACTAAGGAAAAAGCTTTGTCTATCGCTGTGTTGTGGCTAAGATTTCTGGTTTTAGATTTTTGGAGTCACTTCACAAAGAAAATGTTCAGATTCACTCAATTTTTTGAGAAAAAAAAAGTAACGGGTTGTGACTTGTATCATGAGGTATTTATTGCATCTTTTATGATTATTTCATCTAACTCACCAGACATGCCCTGTTTTGAGATCTGCCGGTCGTAGATCTTCTTCTCCAGTGTAAAGTCGCACACCAGCCGGTAGATGTGACAAGGCTTCCTCTGTCCATAACGGTAGACACGACAAACAGCCTGAGCATCATGGCAGGGATTCCAGGAGGCGTCAAACACCACCACGCGGTTTGCCCCGACCAGATTCACACCCAGACAACCAGCCCTGAAGTTCAGACGGATCAGCAAAATCTGCCACGTGTTTTCACTGTTTGAATTCATTCGTCAGGCTTGTGTGTTACTGTTTGTTACCTAGTTGACAGGAGGAAAACCCATGCCGAGGTGTTTGTCGGATCATTGAACTGGTTTATCAGTCTCTCTCTCTCTGAAGCCGTTGTGCTTCCATCCAGTCCTTCATGACATCAAACAACAAACATCAAGTTATCACTAAGGTTTTACACATTGTGTATTACTTAAAATCACCAGCAGGTGGCAGCACTTATTGGATCTCAATGAGGAAAAAGAAGAAGCAGTGTGACACCAAATAACCATAGAATTAACCAAAATCCTTTCCTCATAAAAACAAAACAGATTTATCAGTACTGCATGGGTATAAGTCCAGTTCATCATGTCCTGGATAAAATGTTCCCAGATGAGTACAGTTCTGAAAGAGTTTTCAGAAGTTTTGATCCGCTCTAACTGAGCCATGAATAATTTGTCCTGAAGGAGTTTTCCGTTTGTGCCTAAAACAACTGTCCTGTATTCTGTAGGGTTTTTTTTATTTAATTTTTAATAAAGAACTGATTTATAAAACATTTATGTATTCTGCATTTACTAAACGACTGAGCAATGCAAACCTATTGACATCATCATAAGTGTTGGCTTACTGTAGTAGTTGAGATTGCGGACCCAGTTCTGGTTCGGTCTGTCTTTGCTGGTTGTATAAGGCGAAGGGGGCACTGGTTTCTTGGCTAAAAATTCCTCAATTACAGTCAGTGTAGATAAACTCTGACTGCAAGAGGCAAAGAAAAGTAGAAAATAAATGATAAAAAGAAGTCAGAATCATGTAAAGATGATACAAAAAGACTAATCAGACAAACAAGGCAGTACAACAGCCACTCCCCACTTGTTAATTACAAAGAGTTTGGATTTTTTACCTGAAAACAAGAATTTTGTCTCCTTTCTCGACGCTTTCTTCTATCAGGTGGAACAGCAGTACCATCTTTGCAGAGTTCTCCAGGACGCCGGGCTTGTAGTCACACATGATCTCATTTGCCTTGTTGTGTCAGAGGACATACAGTTAAAACTGCATGTGGATTTGTTGCTATAACATTTTTCTGTTAGTCATGTTATAAAAAATATCGCATACCCATTCATAAGTGATGACCTGGTTGGCTTTCTCCTGCAGCTGGCTCAGACTCAGTCCACAGATGGGATCTGGACTGTCCAAGTTCTTTGACTTTTCACAGGTTGTGGTGGGACATCGGGCTGAGGTGATGTCATCAAGGTCCAAGTCCTGCTCGCTTGCCAGATTTTCCTTCTGCAAGGCCTCATAAAGCACGTCTGGATGGTTCCAAATCTGAAGAATTTAAGAATTAAACTCAACATTACAAAGATTATAAGCATGCATGTAGAGCTGTGGACACGTGCGCTCACTCCTCACCTTGCAGCAGACACAAAAAGCCTTCAGTGGGTTGAGGCTGAGCCAGCCGGTGTTTCCTGCCTCTCGGAAGCGGTTCACAAACTCGGTGTAGAGCGCCCTCTGCAGGGGAGACAGACGCACAAGGATCACGTGTTCCTGCTTGGAGGGCAGCTGGTCCATCAAGACATCGTGGCCTCGCCTGGAGGACATAAAGTTATCTTTTATGAAGTGCATTAAAATGTGTTCGTCCTGTTTCTTTCTTGGAGTGGGGATGCTCCTACCTTTGCACGAAGCCCTCCAGCAGGCTGTGCAGGACGTGGCTCCTGTACCTCATCAGCTGGACGTCCTGAGGTGTACTGTCCACACACTGTCCATTTAAAATGGGACGCTCAAACATGTTGCTGAACTCCTGGCGTGTACCTGAAATAAAATAAAATCAATTAAAAGTAAGAAACGTACTGGGAAATGTTCCATCGAAAGTTTGGGATGTGAAAATCAAAACTAATTCATCGTCCGATACCTAGAAAGTTGGGTCGGACGAAGTCCACCATGCACCAGTACTCAGTCAGATTGTTCTGGAGCGGATATCCGGTCAGGACCACGCGACGACGCGTTCGAATGCTCTTTAGAGCCTGAGATGTGCTGGCGTGGCAGTTCTTAATGCGATGTCCTTCATCGCAGATCACAACATCAGGACCGGGTCGGGACAGGGCTTTCTCAACACCTTTACAAAACAACACAATTTTAATGTTTTTACACAATTCTTTTGGGCTGTCGTTTATGTCCTTCCTAAATTCTCCAACCTTTAAGCAGTTCCTGCTGTCGGTCGTCTTCATCCAGGTTTATGACATCCGGTCCTGCAGCTTTCTTGCTTCTCTTCTTCCTTCCAACAACAAAGCCCTTCTTCAGTGACAGCAGGCGGTACATCTCGTAGCCCATGAGCAGCACCCCACCGTCCCTCGACCACTCCTCCACCACCTTGGCTCTGGTCGCCGTGTTCCTGGACGGCAGAAGAAAGAAAAAGACGAGCTCAGTTTGATTCAACAAGCAGCTCCAGCCGACAGTTAAAATGGGACTCGAAGCTGCTTTGGGTGAAACGATGCTTAACATTTGTGATTAAAATCAAAAAGGGAAAAAAAGACTAAAGCAAAATGAATAAAGATCAAAACATCTTGTGTTAAAAAAAGAAAACTAAATTTTGCTGAATTTTAATGTGAAACCTCTAAAATTTGGTCACCGTGTCACTTAAAAATTAATCCAAACTGCAAAGCTGTCATCCATTCATTCATAAAAAAGGGATGTCTGGAGAAGAAAGACATTAAAAGAAGAAATACACTCAGTTTGTTTTTACAAGTAGAGAGATATAAAATGTTACCCAACTTCTTGCAGGTTTGGCTTTTATTATTTACAATCCCAGAGAAACAATAATGTCTTATCACTCTTTTTGTTTTAGACAATCAAGTGATTTGATGATTAAAAAAATGCAGGTTTAATAAGGAATTTACATAAAAAAAAGTGATTGTTTTTGTAACTCACTTGTGTTCATCATTAAGGATGTGAACGTTAAATATGCGGGGGGCCACCAGGGCAGGGTCGGTGTCTGGAGGTAAGGCCTCAGGAGGAGGGACCCACGTGTTGAACTCTGACAGCCAGTTCTGCAAAGTATTCACCTGAAATACACCCACAGGAGAAGAAAACCTGAGAGAAGCTTCTTTAGTTTTTGTTCTTTGCTTTGGTTCTGTCCATGTTTATATGCACCGTTGCTTGTTATTTTTAATATTAATCATGTTAATCATGTTTAAGTCTTTATTCTTTGTGGAGAATGCAGAAGGAAGCCTCAAATTTCCCCCCGGGGATTAATAAATTAAGAAAGTAAGCAAATAAGTAACTAAATAAATAAGTAAACGACATAAGTAAATAAAACAAGTATATATGTACAGTATGTACATATGTATGTGTGTATCTATCCATCTATCTAGAAATTACAGTTCTGGGATTCACAAAACTCATTTAAATCCTTTTTACCTTTTTAGAACTGGATAATAATAATGCATGTAACAACAACAACAACAACAACAACAACAACAACAACAACAACAACAACACACTACTGTTTATATATATATTTACTAGCCTTACTGCATATGTCACTTTACCTCTATACCAATATCAAGGACTTCATACATATACCATGTACATTCACTTCGTATGCTACTTTGTCACTTTACTACTAATGTCAATGTCAGGACTTTCATACTTAGATATACTTTTTATATTTTTATACTGCTATGCTTACAGTTTAGGATAGTTTCATACTTTTATTATTTCATTTTATGCTAATTTATATTAAATGTTTTAATGTTTATTGTTGCACCAGGGGTCTGAGAGTTAATGAAATTTCAATCCTTTGTATGGCCTGTACATATTGCAGCTTTGACAATAAAAGTTGACTTTAACTTTAATAATAATAATAGTAATATTAATAGTAATATTAATAATATTAGTAATAGTAATAGTAGTAATAATATTAGTAATAATAATAATAAAAAATAATAATAACAGGTCCAGAGATGCTTACCGGCACGATGGCGAGCACAGTGTGAGCCTGAGTGTGTCTGAACAGGACGTCGATGAAGGAGATGACTTGCAGCGTTTTGCCCAGACCCATGCTGTGGGCGAGGATACAACCGAACCCGCTGCTGTTGCTGAAACGCTCCAACGACTCCACCAGGTTGTCGTACAGAAAACGGATTCCACTGATCTGAGGAGGAAAGAACAACTGAATGAGATGACGGGATAAAAAGAAGGTCAAATACAATGACAAGATAAAAAAAAGTAGAAATAAAAAAGGGAAAAGGGTAAGAAGTTAACACCAAGTTTTGTTTTGGATGCAGACAGAATACCTGGTGAGGTTTGACTGCTCGAGCCAGCTGGGGTGACAGGAAAATGTTGTTTTCTGTGGTTGGGTGGTTCAGGTTGACCAGCACCCTGTCCTGCACTTCTGGTTGGTTCTGGGCATCGTTGGCGTGTGCGCCGCTTGGCTCGCTGTCTTTGTTGGTGGACTCGCTGCAGCCGTGCGAAGAAGTGTCATCTTCACTTGTGCACAGATCGATGACAGCTGAACAAAACGGAGACATCAGAACAGTTTAATTCATTTACGTTACAGAATACTGAGGTTACTCAGGACATTTAAATTTCACAACATGTTTAAAATAAAAAGGCACAACGAAGTGTGACTGTTGAAATTAGATAGTTACAAAAATATGTGCAAAAATACCTGATCAGATGCAGTTGTTTTAATAAAATTACATTGAATTAAGTAACTTGCACAGCATTACAAAGACAAACTACAGTATATGTGCGAGTCTGGACAATAACAAACAAAATCTATATCTTATATAAAAAAAACACAGACATGATGGATTTCAAGCGGTGAAAGTTAGACAAGCTGGCAGCCAGCGAGGGCACGCAGTGAAGAGGTGGCGTGTGTGTCAGTATGTTAGGGTGTCTGAATAAAAAAAAACAAGGAGCTTATATAACACAGTGAATGGCTGGTTATACAAGTAGGATTAGAGTGGAGGGGGGGCGACTGGTTATGCAACCCCAAGCAGAAATGTCACAGTACCACTGTGGTGTGGGTGTGCGCTCGTTAACCAGGATCAGTTGGATTTATTGCCCCACAGACAGCGTCTCATGACATCTAGCTGTTGTCTTTTGTTTTCATCTTCATTTTGATCTTTGTTTATCTGTCTGCATTTGCATGCAGTTCTTAGAAGTACTGTGTGTGTGCGCGTTTGTTTCATGTTACCTTATAGGGACCAGTTTTACAAAAAAAAAAAATCATGCATTGTGGGAACCAACTGCTCTTTATTGGGACCAAAGCCAGGTCCCCATAAAGAGAAGTCTCGTTGGGGGGTTAGGGGTTAGGTTTAGGACTAAGGTGTGAAATGTGGATTGATTAGGGTTAGGCATGTACTAGTAATGGTTAGGTTTAGGGTAAGGGTCAGGGTTACGCTACAGAAAATGAATAAAAGTCAATGCAAAGTCCCCCCAAAGTACATTTACAAGAATGTGTGTGTGTGTGTGCGCTTCGATCTTTGATGACTTCCTAGATGAGTGATGCCCCATGTGAATGTTTTCAGTACTCTGACACTGTTCAAAGCCTGTCTTTAGATCTTAATACTCTTTTCTTTTACATTTTAATACTTTTGTTGGATGTAACTGAGACCCTGTGTGCACAATTTAATTGAGGTGGAACGACAAATAAAGAACCTTGAATCCTGGAGTCTTTGTCCAGATGACCTGACTGAAAATTGTTGGATAGTTTCTTTTTTTTGTGCTGAAACGTTTCACCTTCACCATGGAAATTGTTGGATTGTATACCAGGATTATTGAGCATGGACTTTGTTGGCTTGAGTCTTTATGTTTATAAGAATGGACTAAAAGACTTAAACAGTCCCTACAACTTTTAAACATGCGTTTCTAACGTGTGCTGAAGCTCACATTTATTAGCATATTAAGAGTTATTCACTGGCTGGACGGTGTAACCTGAAGACAGAACATGAAATTGATTTCACACGTTTGTGATTTGTAGTTGCAAATAGTAGCTAGAGGTTGTGAAAGCAATCTGAGCTGGAAACCTGAACAGTTTAGCAACCGAGTCATTTATCAATTTGTCATTAATCAACAAATAATAGTGTGAAAATGCTAAATTGATTACACATTTGATGTCTAAATGAACACTGACTCTAATAGAAACTGCTCATTTTAAACACTGAATAAAATTTGAGGCATGAAATGAGAAATAAACACCAATTTTTCATTTTTTTTCAACAGTTTTCCAAATCTGAATTTATTTCATTTTGCTCAGGTTATGCCAGAGTTATTCAACTAAACTACTCAGGGGGACACAGTTACTGAAAGCCAAGAGCTCAGGGGTCGAGCATCCAGCAGATATTGTCATTAAGTTTGTTTTATGGTTTAAAATCTAGTTTTATTTAAAAATATACCCATTGGTGGACTGAACTGAGCACACCTGCGGACCTGATTTGGCCCATGGGCCACCAGTTGAAAAGCCCTGTGTTATACTGAAGATTTAGTGTGTTGATGCAAGCTGCTGTGAGACAAACAGCTGCTGTTTTTACCTGGATTTTGAGTTTGCTCTGTAGCAACAGAAGCAGGTGTGTTAGTCGTGCGGGCGTCTTTGCTGAGCCTGCTGGAGTCCAAACTGATTACTTCCTGTCTGGTGGACTTGACTTCTTGCTGGAATGACGCTGATGCTGCTGATGAGGGCACATGCTGGGCGACATCACCTGAAAACGAGGACAGGCATATAATAAAAACTAAATATCAAAGAGAGAAAAACGACAGATAAGTAAATATGTTCTCTCACCTGTTGGTCTTTCAGGTATCAGTGGTGCATTAAAATCCTGCTTTCTGTGCTCCCCCAGACGTCGCCTTCTCTCCAGCTCGTCATGTTGGGCGGCTTTGGTCACATCTAACTGATGTCCCCTCAATAATTTCCTGCACAAACAGAAAAAAATAATATTAGTCAAAGCATGGCTGCATATCTCAGTAAATTTCACTGGGAACAGGAACACACAACCTCTTTTGCATGTGTGTAATGAATCATCCTCTAAATAAAAGCACACTTGGGAACTTCGCTAAAAGAGGCCAAGCTTTGCTTTCTTTTAATCAGCATGCACTTGTATTTATTAAACATTAAAATGGGCAGAAGTGAGCTGTGTGGTATGAAACCTAAAATAATAAAATCCCACGGACAACTACCCACCCTCAGGCATTTATGTATTCCTTTAGCTGAAATCCTAGTGCAATAAAAATTATATACTGTACTGTAAATTGCTTTGTAAATTAAACAGATGGAAAGTTAAAATTTGTTGTGGAATAGCTGAGAGTCATTCACAACACATACTCCAACTGCTAACAGATCATGTGAGATTTCAATATACGATAAACTTAAATTAAAAGTCTGGTACAAAGACTTCAGGACGTAATCATTTGTCAGTCCTAGGCAATTCTTTTTTTTTTTTCCAACATACAAAAAAATAAAATAAAATAAATAAAATGTGTTGTTAATATGACTGGCTGCTTTTTATTTCAATTTGAATCCCATTTTTGTCATGGAGGAATAATAAACCAAATGGGTTTCTGTTGACCTTTGCCTTCAGCTAACTAAAAAGATTACTTTAATTCTAATTCAATGAAAATGTTTTATGTTCATGTTTAAGGAAAATGTCACAGCTCAGTGTTTGCAAAAAAAAAAAAAAAAATTAAAAAAACATCACCAAAATAATTGTGTTATCTGAATTTGGCTTCCCCACTCGGCCTTGATATGGCCAGCTATCTCAACTTCTCCTGAATTGTTTATGTAAATGAGAAGCCCCCCCCCCCAATCGCTCCCCTCCCGAGAACATCTGTGGATCTGTGTCAGAGTTGAGCCAGCTGATAGACACTGTGCCATCTTTATCAGGACTATGGAACTTTCTGGTAATCTCCACAGACAACTCACTGCCCTCATCAGCCTCCTCATGCATAAATGCATTACGATGTCATCAATATGTTGCCGTTTCATGTGATGAGGTCTTTTTTTTTGCAACTTTCACAGAGATTTGATTTTTTTTTACACTTACACTCCCCCTTGTGTTTCTTTTTCCTTATCTAAAAAAAAAAAAAAAAAAAAAAAAAGGGCTGCGCCTCTCGAGGCCGGCGGCCTCAGTCACCTCCGTCTCTCCATGTCTGTCTGTTTGGGCTGTACTGAAATGTAATTTCGCCGCCGCGCTTCGGTGTAATGACAATAAAGCGGATTCTGATTCTTTTAAAAACAGGTAATTATTTTATAAATAAAGGAGCTAAAAACAGAATTGAAACCAGATTTGGAATCCGTAACATATTACAAAGACTGCACAGTAAATGGAACCATATTCTTGTGGTGGAGCTTTATGTTCCCCTGGCAGGCATTAGGAATGAAGCTGTAGACTCAGCACATGTTTAATCACTGGCACGTTGTATGTGTAGCTGACCTGCATTGTAGTTGCTCAAAAAAAGAAAAATGTCAAAGCAATAAAAAAAGAGAAACATAATCTACACTCCTGACATGATTAGTCTATTAAACTCAGCACACAATGAACGTTATTAGAAATACAATAAGTATTTGAGAAGCAGAGGAAAGGTTAGCCTGCTCTGCCCTGGAGCTCCAGCTTCCTCAGAGGATTGTGTACTTGTCTCTTTTCATCTCAAGTCTGGTTTCGGTTTGTCAAGCACCGAGTCAAATCTCATTTAGGTTCATACTCGTTGTGTTAATGCGGAGCAGACAAAATGCTCAATTAATGTGTTCAATAATAAAAGTAAATGACCCCTCATATGATTCATAACTTTAGTTTGAAGCATCCTGACTGAGCGCTACGTTCAGCACCTGATGTTTCGTCTCATGTGCGAGGACTTGGAGCTCTGCTTCTTGCTTCCTGTCTGGGCCGATGAAGGGGCGGGGCTTTGGCTTGCCAGCCTGGAGCGGTGTCTGGACATGGACTGCGAGGAAGGTGGGTGTGCCGGCGTCTCTGCTGAAGGTGAGGTAGACTGGGGTGGGGTGAGCTGCCACACAACCGGGTCGCCGCCCTGAATCTCATTCTCTGAGCTGAAGGAGGTGCTGCGGGACTGGTCTGTGAAAGGAGGACAGGTTATTTTTATATATTTACAGGACACAGTAGATGATGATACTGTACCATTTCAAATATAAAACTCCTTAAAGTTGCATAACATCTGAACATAATCTCTTAAAGATGCATGCTGTACTTTCTATTTTGGTAAAGCCTGAACTTAATACGATGTGCTTCGAGTTAGTAAGGGAGAGATATGCTGCAGTATGAACCCAGCAATTAACTAATCTTCAAATAATTTAAAGAAATGAAAACACAGTGAATTGCGTTTATCCTGTAAACATCACAGCCGACGTCTGCTAAAGATCTGTATGTTCTTCGTGAACAGTGCATTGTTGTTGTGAAGTCACAAGTAGAACGATTTGTTTCATTTCACTTTTCGAGATTATCAATACTACACTGTAAAATATATTATGAGCTCCTAAATACAGGCCAGGGCAGAGTCAATACATCTTAAGATGAATTAATTTGACCTTTATTTATACAGGTTAGCCTCGTTGAGCCTCGGGGACTCATTTACAAGAGACCTGTAAATTAAAAGGGCTCCAAAAAATGAAATGATTAAAGTTTCACAATTTTTAGCTTTAATCTTCCAAGAGAAGCAAAGAAAATCTGAAAGAGCAGTTCTCCGTGACATTCGTCACTTCTACAAAAGAAGCGAAACGTTGCGGTCCATTTCCATTTGCAGGGTGATTAAATGAACCAAGAGTGTCTGCTTCTGTAAATCATTGTCATTAAAAGTACGCCTGGTGGTGAGTGAATCAGAGATGTCTCATTACATACTTTGTCAAATGGCTCTTCTTTTCTGCTTTAAGTTGAAAGCTATTTAAATATCTATAATAATTTTGAATCAAATATTTAATGACACATTTAGAAATGTTGCCTGTTGAATATTTATTTTCACTTCCGATTCGCTTAGCTCTAACCTACACAGTATGATAAATTTTAAACAAGCAGCCAGCAACGCCTATAGTTTCCTTTCTTGATTGAAAATGTAGTCAGTATATATTTTTAAAAACTTTCTCCTTCTGTTATTGTTATATTTCTGAGTGGTTCCATCAGAAATGCACTGAAGCTGACTTGGAGCTTATGTAAGCGCTGCATCATAAACATGGATGGCTTATGAAACACATGGAAGCCCCCCCACACACACACATATCCTTGAATAAGTGCAAACAGATAAATACTCATCAATACGGGAATGTTAAAAAAAATATCTAAAACATTACGCAGACTAAGTTTGTAGGCCAGTCCAGCCTTGAAAGATAGGAGAAACAGGGAGACCACACACACACACACACACACACACCCACACACAAATACACATGAATACTAGGCATGCACAGTGCGTGACACCTGACGTGTGAATGTGCATATGCTTGCATGAACGTCCACAAACATCCTTGACATGATGGGAAATGGAGGCCGGTGATGATCTCAGTGCGAACTGAACAACAACTTACGTAAAACGCCCCTGCAGTCCTTCTGTGTGACAAACTTCTTAATCAGGCTGCTAAAGACACCAGCTCTTCATTATCATGTGTCTGCGAGGCATGGTGACTGTGTGTATTTCAGACTAGTGTTTCAAGTAAATTACCTTTAAGCAGGTGTAATGCGTTACTGATCGACTGAAAATTAAAAAACTAATAAAAGCTAATCAAATAAAGATTTGCTGCTTCTAAATTTAGTACTTTAAATATGCACGTGTGTGACCTGATGTAAAGTATTTAAAACATTTAATTCTGTTTACAAGGCTGCATCCATGTCAGTTCACACTTTGCAAGCAATTTCCAACAAATCCAACACCTATAAAAATGTGAGGCCTTACCTATAATTCATGACCTTTTTGGTGTGCTTACCCATTACTTTGGTCTCAAATGAAATATCTCAACAACAGCAAACAATATGTACTGTATTTATTGGACTACAAGGCACACTTAAAATCCTTTAGTTTTCTCAAAAATCGACAGTGAGCCTAATTTCGTTAATTTGAGTTAATTCTGGTTGTGCTTTCTGACCTCAAACCGATTTTATGTGGTTATTGTGAATGAGTTGAATAAAGATTGGCTTATTTGATGGTTTTGTTTTGCTTAATGCGCCTTACAATCCGGAACACCTTATAGTCCAAAAAAATACTATAATATCTTTTTGACCACTTATTTTTCTTCCAATTCCAGACAGACACTTTTCCACAAGTATTGCACAAATCCACAGTTTTGAAAGTTGAATCTGAATTGTTTTTGCAGTGGCATCCAAGCTGAAGAATTACAACTATGACTTAATGAATTGGTACAAAACCTATTACGATAAACTACTTTTAGAAGCTTAAAAACAGCACAAGTATAAGTAGGCTAATGTTAGCATTTCACTATTAGCCTACTAATACCACTATTTTTCTAACATTTAGCTAACCTTAGTCCATTTCTAGAATGGTTGTTTTGTCTCGTTTGTCTCTATGTGGCCCTGTGATGGATTTGCGACCAGTCCAGGGTGTACCCGGCCCCTCGTACAGTGATTGCTGGACATGGGCACCGGCGACCCAAAATGGAAGAAGCGGGTAAAAGATAATGGATGGATGGATGGATAGTCCATTTGTAGGGTAATGTTAGTTAAATGCTAACAATCCTTACAAAATCATTTGCACTCATGTAGTCTGCATTATACAATGCAACAATATTTTTCCATCCCTGGCTCTTGATCGAGGTGGCTGCTTTTGTCTTTCCTCTCCCATTTTTCCTTCCTCCTGCTCTGCTCTCTGTGTGTCTGAAGTGCCTGGTACACGTCTCCCGAACGTAAAATAAGAAGATTATGGATCTGGTATCCTGGGCGTTCAACACTATTGATAAGATTTTTTCAACAAAGCAACAAGGTCCTGGAGAACCTGCGTGTCCAGCTGAGACACACGTTGTGGGGTACGTCATGGACCCATGGGGAGTGTGGCAGCTGATGTGCCTCTCAGTCCTGTCTCAGAAGGATGTTGAATACGTTTACATATTTGGCTTTATGATAGCAGGGACTCTGCTTTTTGGCATCAGCGGGGTTTTATAGACTTTTATCGTGTTTTATCAACTTTTGAAGAGGACATCGGCAGCAGTTTTGGCCATGGCAAAGCTTCTGAGTTAGTGTGAAGGTTTGGTCCGTGCTGTAGGAACTCTAAATCATCTGGTTTACGAGCTAAACCATAAGGTGGAGGCGATTTATGAGAATCGCAGGCCACCTGCGGCTTCTGGGACTCGTCAGCGTGGTGGGTTCAACCTTGAGGGAGACTCATAGCATGGATCAGTGGAATGGATTCCCACAATTAGGCTATTTTGGAACCAGAACGTCCAGATAGACTCAAAGCTAAAGATAGACTCAAAGCTAAAGAAAAAAGCAATACGTCTGCCTGAAGAAAAACAACAATCAAAGCGTATCTGAATCTGACTCCGATGGCCTCGGAGACGGGCCGACTATCATATTTCTCCTGGGTCATGAGTAACCAAGGACAACACTTCATCTATTGCCTTTTCCTATCTAAGATTATTATTCTGAAAAAGGATAAGCGAGGCCGCGCTTATAGCAGCAGCTTCGTGCATATATATCCTATTCATTTAGATTTATCAACACAAAATATGCAAGCATCTACCCACGCTTTTACTTAAAGGTTGATATTTTGATTTTAAATTATTTTGACGTCATGACTGATGAAGAAATCTTCAGTCACAGAATGAGCTCTTGATATTTGTGACACCCAGAGACCTTCTCTTTGCTTGGGTCTGGGGACAGTATACATATTTTTTCTAGATAATAGAAAAAAATCAGAAAAAATACCCCCACAAGCTTATCATTTTTAATATTATATGATGTGAAAGACAAGAGCAACAAAATATTTTTGTATTGAGTCAGATGAAATTCACACATTTACTTGGATTAACCTGTGTATCCCTCTTTTCATATTTTTTCTGACCCTGCCTTATACAACAGTTATATAATAGTTCCTGAAATGCACACAGCCTCAATATCACTGCAAACACACACTCAACAAGAGACACTAAAGAGGCAGGAAATGCAACGTAAAGAGGAAAAGGGGAGCGAAAGGAGAGCAAAATCATCGTTCAAAGTAGCACTTCAGAGTGAGAGCGGTAGACAACACACACACGCACACACACACACACACACACACAAAACCACGTATAAAAAAATATAGTGCCTGCACACAGCAACAAGCACTCAGCTACACACAGAAAGCACACCCCCCCCTCGTTTATCGCGGCAGTTTGGGACCATGCCGCCCCCCGGTAATAAGTGAAAAACCACGAAGTAGGGATACAGTAGTCCAAGTAAATTTTACTGACATTACATGAGATGAACGTAATTATATACACAAGTAGTAGTTTTTTTTAAGGCGTTTTAAAACCTTCCCACACTCTTGCAGTGTCCCTAACAATTTTCTAAATTCTAAACGCTCTACAAGAGCACAGCATGTCATGATCTCCTTTCTGAAAATAGAACACAGTGGCAGAAGATAAAGTGAAAACAGGAGAGGACCAAGAATAGAGCCCTGGGGTACCCCACAGGGGAGGGCAGCAGAAGTAGAGGTAAAATTATCCATCATCACACTAAAACTTCTATCAGAAAGGTAGGACCTTAACCACTGCAGAGTTGAGCAAGTGATGCCCACCCACTGCTCCAATCTGGAGATGAGAATGTCATGGTCGACTGTGTCGAAAGCAGCTGTTAAATCTAAAAGCACAAGTAAAACACAGTTTCCAGAATCTTCGGATGGCTGCTATGTTATATTTTAAGTGCTTTAGAAATAAATTGGTACGGTATGGTATGATCTCAGCTCTCTGCCTCCGGCTGCTCTCTGCCATCTACCAGCGCTCTCGGCCACGCCCACTTCTCCGCTGCAGAGATCTGAGCTGTGGGCTGCACTAAATATTTTAAAACAATTTATTTTATATAAAAAAATTCCATGCCAATTGTGCGACTCATCCATCAATCAGCCAGTTGTGTGTCATGTC